CATACTGAAAAGCGTGTGGCGCCATCTGTTGCAAGCGTGGCAAAGCAACAACCTCAACTGCCACGCGAGCAGACACGCTGCAAATCAAATGCGAAACTTCAAAAAACAAGTCTGGCTGTAAGCATGTTTCACGCTGTTTCTTCGCTGAAATTTTGTGCCAATTTCGTGTGAAACGTCGAGGAGACCTTCCTCTACAGTTTGGAATGCCTGCAGCACGTGCATTGCAGACTGCAGAAACAACTTCATTAGGTATGTACCATCCGACTAAAAGAACTGTGACGTGCCTTGGCTGTGACAAGGAAGAATTCATGCTGTATCCGGCGTCAACGTAGCGCTAGAATCTGGTTCCAACTTACGCTCATGCAACGCATGTGTATCAACTGCCAGTCCTGCCGGGCACTCGGAACACAGACGCGGTACAAAAGTGCCAGCCAAAACAAGATTTTAAAATGCTACGGTAACGCCGGCCCAAAGCACATGTAGATTCACCTAGGGACAGTTAAGGCAGGTCACAGTTCAACCAAGCCGAAAGCCATGATTTCCGCGCCGTTCACGTCTCTTTGAATCGCGATAGTAGGCCGTTACACTTGAACTAAACATGCGCGGTGCGTGAATCCACGCATGAGTCGTAATACGTATATCTTATTATTGACATGTGGACTGCGAAAGAGTACGGCAGTAGGTTCGTGCCGCATACTACAGGCATACTGCATGCAAATCACTGCTGTAAAGTGGAACAGGTGGAGTCACGCTTAAATAAATGCCATAAATATACTTACTCGTGCACATTACTGGACTCGTAGTTTTTCCAGTAGATTGCGACTATATCCTAAGGCGGCAGAGACCAGCGTTTTTTGTTGTGGATGGAAACCTGTGCAATCGCAAAACACCGCACAAGCACGATTCCCGCAATGCGCTGTGAGCTTCACAGGCATTTCTCAGCAATCTCTTCCTCTTGCACTGGTTTTTGTTGCATTAGATGACAGCGCAGTGGTACCCAGATGACATTTTATAAGCGGGCACAGCGCGCACAGGCGCGGTTTCGCTTTTTAAACTCTCAGAGCCACTGCTTGCCATGCTGGAGGGGCACGCCTAGGCAGTTGCAAAGAAATTATGGTGTCTCTGGGACCGAGGGTATACCGCGGAAGGCGCTTGGGTCCGAGATAGGCGTGCTCTCATCTATAGGTCATGAAAGTTGCAAATAATCAAAATAACCTTTTTCAAGGGCCGCACTTGTGTAAAACAAGTTGAGCATGCAGCTTCGCGTGTCAGAGAATCGAAATATGCGATGCGTGCTTGCCAACATTTAAATTTATGCATGTTAGAAGAACTTAACGTCTAAAGACACAAAGACACGCGTTGCCATTGAAATGAACGCGAAAGGAAAGGAGGGGGGGTGTACGTCTAACAAATGAAAGCACCATCGCAGAAATTAACGGACTACCACATCACCTCGATTATGCACATTACACAGAAACTATTTCGAACCACCCGATTTAAGACATCGCAATCGAACCGCGAACCTCTATTTGAGTGCTACACTTGCCACCCTCGTTTTCATTTTAACGATATGTATCCCTACCCGTCAAGTGCGGCTACCACAAAGAGTTTCGTTGATTCACTACCAAACCGCAACTTATAAATTTACACGACTGCTACCGATTGAAGAGCAACAAACGCCGGTTAGCCATGCTTGCCGTTTGGTATGTTGTCACGGAAAGCTTGTCCAAAACATAAGGATTTGGTGTCAAAACGATGGCACTAGCAGTGAAACCAAGAGCCCCGTGTGTGATACGAAGTTCGCATTCGCGGCCGGGAGATCAGCAACAACGATCGACAACTCGCCAAGCTTACGTACAACAGCGCACTGGCAGCAAAAGTAAAAGCTCGCGTCATAAAACCGTAAAAGGTTTTTTAATTTGTGGACAAGGAAGCAAACACGATATCTGTTGCAAGTGCGATAATGATGACGTTTTTCCCGACAGGAAACTGGTAAGCGCATGTAGTTGATAAGAACGGGATCGCATGTGCCACGTGTTGAGCGGTGGGCGGCCGAAGCAACGCTAGCGACGTAGTACGCTGTAGCCATGTCGGCGCCGGCGCAAAGGCTTATTTATCAATCACCGAGGCAACCGTCCTCCTCCCTTACTCGGTGAGCCCGCGCAGTGTCCCACTGTCTTTTCTTTTTTTTATTCCCTCTGCCGTTCGTTTGTTCACATCAGTACCCTCTTTCTCCGTAATGACCTCGTCGTTCGCTCCCCAGCGGCGCACCCAGCGCTACTCGTTACAGCGTTAGTCGCAAACAATTTCCGGCAACTGCGTTATAACTGGTCTTTCAGCTTGGGGAACTGCACATTAAGCGGTATCCGTATACATGTGATTCTATGGGAGGGTAAACAGAAGTAGGAAAAGACCGCATTGTAAGCGGTTCTGCACTATAAGCAGTTACGTTATAAGTGGTCTACATTGAAGTGGAGGAAGAGTACTCCCTGTTCCAAGCTTCCGCTCCACACCGTTATGACATGCACTTATGTGGGAGCAAGCCCTACTGCTCGGTTACTGGTTGCGCGTCCTTGACGTATCACTGACATCGTGTCATGTAGCCAAAGCGGGTGGAGTCACGATGATGGGCTACGTTTTTCCCTTCCCTATGGCAGAGAACGGTGGTGAGGCTGCGTGAAATTTTGAAACGAGCTAAAAAGGATGTTCTAACCCCTGTAACTTCCTTACTCTAGCACATATTCTAAATCTTTGTGGTAGCATACTCCTATAGCAAAAGTGTGCATATTTCTCTTCCTTACAAATTTTGCACCTGGGGGTTGTTTACTGGCCTTTTAAGAGGAACAATACAAATGTGTTTAAATTCTTATCTACATGCCTTTGACGGCTTTGGCTGAGTTAAAGCTTTTCAGGGGCCTCCAAAACATGAAAGAACCAGCACCTCCACCAGTTGTGTGGTTGTGATAGTGCAGCAAGCAAAATGCAACCGGTAAACATTCAATAGTTTATTGGGTGAATCTCTGCACTGTAAAAGAAGCAGCACTGAAGGAGCAGCACAAGCACAGACGTAAGTCATCGGTAATCTGATCATTCATCGTATTGGCATTTATACACGCAATGTTGAAGATTCTAGCATTATTGCTGGTGGCCACATTACTTCCAGAATAAGCTGCCATATTTACTCGCGTAATCCTCACACTCGCATAATTCTCGCACCCCCCTCATCGACCAACAAAAATGCGATTTCTTTTTTTCCTCGAGTACTTATCGCACCCCCACAAACTGCCGCAATAATGTCGTCTGCTCGTTCCAGCCACTGATGATGATAGCGAGTGCCACCTCTTAAGCATCAAGCACACTATTACTGCACGGAGATTCAATCCAATCCAAGCCAAGCCAAAGTGGCAAGCACGTTGCGGCGTGTTTTGTACGTTGCGTAGGTAATCTTGTCACATTATCGGGTGATACTGAAGCTACATGGCTGCTTTCAAGTTGAAAGTGATAGATCATGCACTATACAATGGCAACAGGGCCGCCGGTAGGCCCTTCGGAGCCTACAAGTTTTGTGTTCGCTTCTGGTCACGGCAGCTGAAAGCCACCAAGACGCGTTGGGCCTGATGTGTGCCTAAAACTGGGATTGATGGTACACTTTATTTCTTCGGAAGAAAACTGCGGACGATTGTGTTAAATAGCCATTATCCTAATACTGACGTCCTACGCTTACCTTTCGAGGGCTCCTGTTGAGCGACGAACGCTACTGCTACGCCCGCAATGCCCACAAGCTTTTCGTATGATATTCTAATTATCGACTATTTGCTTGCACTTTTTGTGTCTCAAATCTTGCCTTGTGTTGAACCTGTGCTTTTTTAGTGTTGAGGTAAGTTTTAATTAGTACTTCTTAAAGATTGCTGCTAGTTGCTGGTGCAGTGATGGAAGTGCTGCTCCAATTGCTCCAAACTGCTCCAAAAGAGAACTGCTGCTCCATGCTGCTTCAAACAGTCATTTTTGTTAGTAATTGCTCCAAACATGCTCCGAAATGACACAGGAAGAATCAGGATGACGAACTTTTACTGTGTGACTGACGCACAAGTCCTAAAAAAACTGAAAAGAATATGTGTACTGTTATCCCAGTGTGCTTCTAGTGTGTAGCATTATTGGCTCTGATCTCATTTGTGCGACAAGAACTCGCATAATAAGCATATAGCTTGTTTGGATTTTTTTTTCTGAGCTAGACATGCAGGTTAGTATGGTGAAATGTGAAAATGGGCTTGATTGCTTTTACCTCACACCAATTATGTACTGCTTATTTGGCAACAATTATATGGAACAGTGGTTACATTAAAAATGTGGTGCTCAGCTTTTCCAGTTTGTTTCGCTTTGTGCCATAAATACTAGTAATTTAAATTGTAGCTCTTTTCACAGGACATTTTATCAACCTGCCATTGTTTGCTACATAAAATTTACATTAATTGTTGTATTTTAAATATTTTTAATAAGAAGTAATAATATTTGAGATGCTTAGACAATGCTGTGAACTCCAATTAGTGTATGTCAAATTTATTATCTTCTCCTAAAACACCAATAACTGTTCTAAACTAGCATTTCTTACTGCTCTGAAAGCACCTATAGCCGCTCCAAAGCAATACTTTTCCTGCTCCAAAGTATGCTCCAAAAAGTAAAAAGGCACTTCCATCACTGCTGGTGTGAGAATCCTGATCTGTAGCCACTTCGTTTTCTTCTTCGCTCTGTACATTTTTGGGGAAAGTTTTCCCGGCGTAATTCTCGAACCCCCCCAACTTTGCATCGGTTTTCAGCCAAAAAAGTGCAAGGATTATGCGAGTAAATACGTATATTGTTTGTGTTAAGCTCGCAATCTTATCAGAAAAATGCTTACATAAAAATAGAAAAAGAAGCACATGTAGCAAGACAGTAAACAATACCAAGCACTGTTAAAAAACCCCATCACACAAACATGGAGGTGGTGTGGTAGGTAGTCTCACCATGACATAAAAGTGTCGGAACAGTTTCAGCTTCTCCAGGTTGATTGCTGCCTTGCCATCTGTTTGTGATGCTTCCTGGAGATGCCTAATAGACCTGCATGAATAAAACCAGCCAAGAAGAGGCAGCTTTCATTTAATTGCTGTCACAATGTAGAGCTAAACCTGCACATGCACTTGCCCAACTCTCTTTGCTATGCGGTAACATGAAGCAGTGGCTCAAAAATAAATACAGTAATATTGAAAGCTCAGTTAGTAGCAATTTAAAACTATCACTTCGTTATTAGAAATATTGTTTTGCATTAAAACCTACTGTACCACAAAGATGGTAGTTTACTGGAACTTAAGATGGTAACACTGGAACTGAACCCTGTAAAGAAGGCAGCCAAAAATGTTCTCCAATGCAATAAAACTCACCCGAACCTTCATGATGCAACAAATATTAGTGATCATATTGGAGCCAAGCACAGCGTAGAACACTTTTGGATGGTATATTTATTTATATTCAAATACGGTAGCCCAATGTGAGGTTACTGCAGGAGTGGTGTACATATATACAAAATGAAAGCATTTAAACAGTAGTACCAAATTAAGTGTGCCAACGTAAACAAATATCACTACCCCATGAGTGCACCCTGGTAAGAAATGAGAGAAATAGAACATTATTATGACACAAGTGCCTCCAAAAAGTCAGACACACTAGTATCACGAACCAAACCAAGTAGATAATTCCAGTGTTTGATAACTTTATTCGAACGTGTTAGAGAGCACTACAAATGGCTTCTAAGCTAGATTGTGATTGCAGATCAGTGCTGTGTTGAAGGTTTCTGCACTTTGCTGCTAGTTTAAATGTCCTTTAACATTTATAAAATGCATCAAACACTACTTGATGAGACAGGCATTGGTTTCGAGATTGCAGCCAAGCACTGTGTAGAAGGTTTTCACATCTCATCAATAGTCAAAATTCCCTATGATGCAATAAAGGATGCCCAAAATTTTTGATGGGACAGATACCTGTCATAGGATTGCACCAGAGCACCGTACAGAAGTTTTGGCAAGTTTTCTAACATAGCTAAGCTGAATATCTTGATATTTTGAATTTGCTTAAGTGCATGTATATATAGTCCAAGTTAATGCGTATTCTAAAAAGCTGAACAGAAATGAAGCAGTCCTTGGAAACACATACAAAGATTCAATGTTTGAAACCATCTAATATGTTCAGCTCATTACAGTCTGGAGGAAGAGATAAATACATGCACAGTTCTGAAAGGTAGTAAGTCACATGAGGTACTTTTTGCATTTCTTCTATGCAAAGTGCAGTACAGTACAAGTGCACTTTCATTCATTCTGTGCATACATGTGGTGACCTTCTCTTCCTACTATCGTGTTATCGTGCAGCTGATTCGAAATCATGTGCTTCTTACAAGGTTTTCAGTTTTCTGTCCAGCTGTAAACAAAACGCGTGTTACATTACGGTAAACTGTAAAACGATGGAGAAGCGCCATTGTATGCCTACAGCTATGAGTATCAGAATGAACTATTAATTAGGTATGTGTGTGTTAGAATGCCTCCAAACAACGTATGTGCTACTGAGCGTGGCAGAGAAGCAGAACAAGCGAGAAGTGAAATAGCAGGCAATACCAGCAGCACTTAATCATGAAATTTTTTTTTTGATCACCGCAGCAACGCACGTTCGAGTTTCTATCTTGTACATGAATGAAAGTGAGACCGCTGACAGCTGAATGTGTCAGCGTCGCTGGTACCCGACACGAAGTCACATCACACTGCTACCAACCAGCGCACGCTTGTTATTAGCTTGGCAACACACGAAAACGATTTGCACCGAAGCCAACGAATGTTCCAGCGTCGTACAATCCGCGAATACACTTCTATAAGTACGTACGTTTTGACATCACCGAAATGCGCTGGCTAGTGCGAGGTTCGCTTTCAGCGATGATGAATATCGATGTTGAAAACAAACACAGTGCAGATAAAAACTCCTCCGTATGAACTACGCGATGTTTCGGGCGTCGTATATGGTGTCTATGTTGCGACGGAAACTACCGTAGAGTTTTTTTCAGCCGAGGTTTTTCACATGTGCTGGTTCATACGAACTAGACGGTAGAGGCCTGCGCTGGATGCAGATGACACTGCTCTGAATTGCCTCCGCGGTAGACGAGGGCTCACGCTCAAACATTCGAACCTCCGAAGTCTGTTTACACTCGTTTTTAGCACAGAAAGTCACAGATCAAAACACAAGAACACCGACATGCTCCCTTCGCTCAGCCGACGATCGCACTCGGACCGGCGCTAGCATAGCCGGCCGGCATTCGCTAGATTTGTCGGCGTCGCTCGAACTCGGCACGAAACCGCGTCACGCTAGTAGCACTCGCAGTCATTCGTCGTGTCGTTGTCGTTCTAGATTACGAAGCGGTCATTCAGGAACGTTTGGAGTAGTTTCTGTGCTAGCATCCAGAACTCTGCTGTGCCTTCGAAGCGGCAGCCATTAGGCATAACGTTCCGAGGCATCGCGACCCCTGGTTGGTTGGCGCCGCTGTACGCGGGGTGACGTAGCGTACGCGTGGCAAAAATATCAAGCCCGGCCAACGCCTCCTCTAGGAAGATGCCTGCCGCATGAAAAAAAAAAAAAAACAGCTGCCACATCCTTTCCCTTCTTCATTTTGAAATTGTTCTTAGTCGCTAGCGTCACCTGTGGCGGACGGTGCAACAACGCAACACTTTCCACAGCCTCCGAAACAGTGGTGCACAGTTGAAGATCTTACAACTCTCGACTGACGCGCCCCTATGGGCCGCAGATTAAATACGTTTAGCTGGTACTGCCCGTCGCCGTGATAATAGGGTCGGTTGCGAGCCCCACCGCGCGGAGCTTGTTTAAAACTGAAGGCAGGCCAACTCCGCTGGGAGCGCGAGCCATTCCTCAGGCATCTTTTTAGAGGAGGCGATGGCCCGGCTTGATCCCTTGCGCCTCCTCGCGTATGCCCCTCCAACGCCTCCTCTATACAATGCCTAGTGAATGGCTCGCGCTCCCAGCGGAGTTGGCCTGCCTTCAGTTTTGAGCAAGCGCCGCACGGTGGCGCTCGCGACCGAGACTATTATGGGATGGACATCATTTGAGGGCAGGAAAGCTAGCAGCAAGATAAAATTTGAGTAGCGATTGAGAGAAATGGGGGAGGAGCGTTGGGATAGGAAGATTTTCAGCTACTTGTACATGAAGAATGTCAATACAAAATGGAGGAAGCGAACCAGGAAATTGACTGGTAAATACTTAGAAAACAGCAGGTGGCCAAACCAAAAAGAACTATCGATTAAGAAGAAAGTGAAGGAAACGGAGACTGACATGTGGAGAATGGGCATGATTAAGAAGTCCGCACTAGAGATATATCCAACTTTTAAGCAGGAAATTGCCAAGGAAAGGATCTAGGATAACACTCGGGGTAGTTCTCTACTGTTTGAGGCCAGGACGGGAGTACTGCAAACCAAGACATATCGGGCCAAATACGAAGGGGTAGACACAGTATGCAGTGCGTGTGGAGAGGAAGAAGGAACTGCCGAACACTTGATAATGTTCTGTAAAGGGCTTCACCCTATAGTTCAGGATGATGGCGCAGAGTTTTTCAAAGCACTGGGGTTTAGAGACAGGGAGGGCAAAATAGACTTTAAGCCGGTAGACTTAACAAGAAGGAGGTTATCTGATTGAACTGGAGCGTGTCTAAACGTTCCAGTTCTGTTTGGAGGTGCAGGCGAACGAGCTCGCTGAAACCGACTTCTCCAGAGCTGCTGCCAATATATTTTTGAAGAGTAGTGCGACATGGCAAAGTTAATAATTTCTCGGACCTAATGTATTCATATGCTTTGGTAGAAAAATGTCGAATGACAATGCAGTGTCTAATCGTTGTTTCTGACCACGACGGTCTCTTCTTTTTATAATTCTTCATTTGATCTAACAGTAACACAGCTTTTGTGCTTCCCTCTTCGGCATCGGCCACAACTTCCAAAAATGCGCTTACAGAGCACTCTTCTAAGTTTTTGGAGCTCGTTCTTGTAGGCATCCACAGTTTTTCGCAGCCTTTCAATTTTAGCTTTCAGAGCACATTCCTTTTCGCGCCATCGCTTGCGCTGAACAAAAAAATGCGATGAAGGCGCGCTTGGGGCTGTTTGAGTCTTCACAGAGCACTTGCAGGGCAGGGTCACTTTTTTTCTGGCGCTCTTTCATGTGCTAACCACGACAAGCACATCTTGATTGTTTGCATCCTGGGTGCATGTTAAATTCGTCACCACTGCAGGCCCTGTCATGGCGAGCAAACCTACTTAGTGGTTGCCACTCAATAAACTGGTACTTTCTTGCACAAGTTCACTCAGGTTCGTGTTCTTGCTTGTTGAAGACTCCTTAGCTTTAGGACAACTTGCCTCCATCTCGCTTCCTCCTGTCAACAAGGCTGCGGTATCATTGTCGTCATGGCTGCCGGTGTTGCTCGAAGAAGGCTCATGCTTTCTTTTCCGTATTCTTCTATCCCGCTTTACTGCGACCCTTTCGATGTCCACAGTCTCGCCAGTCGGGTTGTCAAACACGCTTGGAACAGCACCCGGTTTTAGAAGACGTCTTGTGCAACCGTCTTTGAAGTCAGATGGAAGAAAGTGCAGACTACATACCACTGAGTAGTTTGAGGTACTGTTTGGCACCCACTCTTCTCTTGAAATGGCCGTTAACCATCGCTCGCATGAAGTGCTCTCAGCCGGTATCTCATGAAAAGATACGCCGTCTTGTTTTCGCCGCTGACCAGACCTGCACTTTGGCACGCAACAATAGCGCATGTCCGAGTGTATATGGTTGGACCGGACGCACGCACAACACAAGTAGTAGGCACAAACCTTTCGAAATAAAAAAATGCAAGTACTACCAGTAATGCAAGCGTGCGCACCCCTAGCACTCGGGCTGCAATGCAATGTACGTCTGCTAGCTGTCAAGATTTCTCGCACGAAACGACAAAAACAGTTGAAAAGACGATGTAAAATACTTTCCACTGTCTTAAAACTTATTATTTATCATTCCTGCGTCCAATTTTGCTATAATACGAG